GGAGAGCTGCTCTCTGGCTCTACCCCAAGACTGCAGCTCCTTGTCAGCTGGGCAAAGCCATATGTGACTCAGATGCTCTCAGCTGCTGGCCATTCAGCAGGGAAGGGATCCCAGGGATGGATTCCCCTTCTGTCCCAAGACGTATCCTTCTGCGTTCCAAACCAATATGTGTTTCCTTATACCCTTTCCACTCTCCTGCTTTTGGGGAGGGGAGTTACCAGCAAGTCATCAGTGCCCTCCTTGAGCCTGGCCAACTCACTTTACCCTGCATTTGGCAGAAACTCTTCCAAATTATGGCCTGTAGAGGACCTCTTCCCTGAGGCAGGCTTCCCCTCCACCACCCATTTTATAGCCTTTTGACTTTCAATCAAAATGGAACAGGAGTGGAGTAAAATGGAGAAAGTTATTCAATGTATATGATAAAGCTGCCGTTTCACCCAGAATTAAGATGAGCTGAAAGATGAAAGAGAAAGAAAGAAAATTGGAAGTTAATTGCTACTTAATAGCAGAATAAGAAACAGAATGGCTTGATTTGCTTATTATCAGTCTTCCCTGAATCACAAAATAGGATAAAACTTTGTATTTTTTCTATGCTGAATAAAGTGTGACATTAGGAGGCTCTGGTAATTAAATTTAATTGGAACCAGATTTATAAAACAGGCTATGAGTTGTTGAGGACAAGGACTCTGTCCTATTCACCTTTGCCTCCAAGTAAATGCTAGCTATTATTGCTGCCGTTGATGTTGTTATCTAATTACGTATAACAGAATACAGAAGTAATTGCCTCCAAGAATGAACAAAATGGGGATTTTCCTTTCATTGATAAATGGAAGATTTGTCTAAACTAATCATGACTGAACAAAAAGAACATGTACCTCTGTTTAAAGAATAGCATCGTACAGTAGAATTTATATTTAAACACTGGAATAATATTTTTCTTAAGGCTCTTATAAGAATCCATCTTTAAGAAAACTGTTTTTTCCCCTTTAGTAGGACAGCAAGCATCCTACTGATCTACAATAAAATGAAACTGCACTTTCTAAACACATTTACCTCCCCCCCTACTAAGGACCACCTCCACCAAGACAAGTGAGTGTTTTTTCAGAAAATCCAGAAGCCAGTCCACAAGGTCACCAACCGTGTGTCCAGAGCACCAAGGGGGAGAGGGGACTGCTGAGAAATGGGGGAACACCACACCATGATGGGGAAAGACCGTGCAGGAGAAGTAAGGAGAAAGGCCAGGAGGACAGAATAGGTGGAAGGTCAAGGAAAAATATGACCAACACAAGGAAAAGGAGAAGATATTAAGAAAGACACTGCATCTTGGAAAAAGAAAAAGGAGAGCAAGAGTAGGGAGAGGAAGCAGCAGAACACTTGAGAGAGATGTGTGAGGACCAGGGCTAGGGCCTTCAAATGCTAACTAGCACCACCCTCCACACTGGTGAGAGCAACAGGGAAGATGGAGAAGGTTCATGGGGGAGAAAAATAGACAATTTCATTCTCTTTCCCAGGTAAGAACTTAGCTTGGTGCAGCAACAGTGTTATGTCATTCATTGTCACCCATGTAAGCAGGCATCATAAATCTCCAACAGAGGACAGAACAGGGTAAGACGAACGGATAGAAAACTAGCATTTCCTGAGGAGCTGTTATTGGCCACACCTGTGTGGGCACCTTGTACATATTACTGTATTAAATCCTTATAACCGGTCTGTGAGAGAGGGATTACTTATCCCTCGGCTATGGATTGGAAAAATAAATCTAAAGGAGATTAAATCCTTTCCTTCATGCTTGAACATAAAGTGATGTTTTTGTGTGGTCTTAAAAGTCCTTGATCCTAACAAGAATGAGACCTGAAGAATTTACACAGTGCTTTCAAAGTCTGAGCACAGCTTGACAAGTCTTCTTTCATTTGTTTTAAACACTTACCTAGTAAAATTATCAGGTCATTTATTAACACTCTAATGGGACAAATGAATAAACTGGAGTACAAGTCATGCAGCCTGGAGAAAGTTCCAGAACAGTGGCTATAGCCAAATCCCCTAATTCCCTGACAAATGATTTTTCCACCTTTCTTCCAGTTTACAGAAAGAGGCAGGATCTATTTATGAATAGAAGTAAAGGTGATTTTCAAGAGAACCACGGGAATCGGTGAAAACATACATGGTTCCTTTAAAGTTGTGTTAGTTGAAGTGACTGTAGGTACTGAAAGTGAACAAAACCCCAAATCTCAGCAGAGTAACAAATGGGGGATTGTTTCCCATGTGAAGCCCCAAAGAGTGCTCTCATTCACCAGGTAGCTTTCTTTCAAGTGGTGTATCATGTGCCCCAGCTCCTTCCATCCTGTGGCTCTACCATCTCTACCCTGTGGGTTCTAGATGATTTAGGGTGGGGGAGGGTTATATGGGCCAGGCCCAGGAATGATGCATACCACCTTCATCTACATTCCATTGGCTTAAAACCAAGACATACCTTTTATGGTTTAGATTTGAGGTGTCCCTCAAAAGTCCTTGTGTTAATGGAGGAATATTCAGAGGTGAAATGATTATATTTTTAAAGCTATAACTTCATCAGTCCATCCTAGTTTGAATGGACTGACTGGATGGTAACTGTAGGCAGGTGGGGCGTGAGTGGAGGAGGTGTGTCTCTAGGGACATACTCTGGAAGGTTCATCTTCCCAGTGGTCTCTTCCCCTCTTCCTCTCTGCTTCCTGGCTGCCATGAATGCAGCAATGTTCTTCAACCATGCCCTTCCACCATGATGTGCTGCATCATCTTGGGCCCAAAGCAATGGTGTTGGCCATCATGGACTGAACCTCTGAAACCATGAGCCAAAATAAACTTTTCTTCTGCTAAGTTGTTCTTGTCAGGTATTTTGGTCACAGTGACAAAAACCTACCACCACAATTATGGTAGGGGATGCTGGGTTATATAATGTCCAGAGAAAGAGGAGATTATTTAGGTGAACCATTAGCAGCGTCTGCCACAGTCTGCCCTTCTGGCACCAAATCCATTTCTTAGTACATATAAAGCACACTCCTGTGTACCAGCTACAGCATTCAGCCTGTGGTCCAGGATCCCTGAGGGATGAGCAGATTCAGGTGGGGCTCTTCATGGTTCAGCAACCAATGAGTCAAAAAAAGACAGATTATCTGCACGCAGGCGGACATGCGCACACGCACACACACACACACACACACACACCAATTAAATCATGGTGGATCACAGGCAAGAAAAATCACAATTAAAAACTCTCATTCAGAAACTGGAAGAATGAGAGACCCACAGTATCAATGACCCAAAATAGCACTGAAATCCTACCTGGTCCTTTTCTCCTATCCCTGGGAAGTTCCTTCACTAGAACTAGATTCCACCCTCTGGGGGTCACTTCTTGTCATTTGTGCTCATGACGCCTGAAACAGTCCTCTGCAAGGAGTTTCCTCACACACTAACCTCTACGGTCACAGGTGAAGAGGGCTCCGGAGAGCGGGCCTTCTGGGGCCTACACTGCGGTGCAGGTTTGTAGGGCAGGGAGTGTTTTAAGGCTCTATCAAAAACTTTTTAAATATAGGCTACTTGTTTCCTTGGCAATCAAGTTATTTCAAAAACTTAGCAGCTTTCTGACATATTTTCTTCCAAGTAGCTCCATGTGCCATACTCCAAATTCTTTCTTAGGTATGATTTTCAAGACTAGTATTTTTAGTACTTCCTCACATTCATTCCAGCTCTCTTCCTAATGCTGCTACCTTGAGGCCATCTCAAATAATTATTAATAAGGCCACATCCACATCTTTAGTCTGATCTTTACCACAGGACTGAATCATTGTGTTTAAATGGTAGATCTCACAGGGCATTTTTTCTTATATGTATTGTCCAAAGCATTGGATTTTCTCTATATACTCCTTTCACTTATGCTTGCAAATTGGCCAATTATTTCCTGAGTGTGCCTGTCTATCATGATACAAAACCAAAAGGAAAAAGTAAGAGCCAACACGTTTTCTCCAGTCTCAGTTTCATTACACAGGTATTCTGCCATTAAAATTATCAAAGGTGATAGTTTCGCCAAATATTTTGCTGCTACATAAATGGGTCTCCATCTTTCTTCCATCTGATTTTTTCACTGTTTGACAGGTAAGTAATCCAATGTCATATACAGTATTTTAGGATTTTGTTATAGAAACACCTTACTTTAAATTGCCATTTCTAAATCAGGTAAGGCAACACTAGCTGTAACAGCAGATAAACCACAAAAATCTCATTCGGATAACATAATATTACAGTTGAGGATGTCTAGTCTGAAAGTGCAAAATCTAAAATCCTCAAAAATCCACAACTTTTTGAATACTGACGTGATATTTCAAGTGGAAAATTCCACACCTGGCCTCATGTGTTAGGTTGCAATCAAGATACAGGCAAAATTTAAAATATTGCATAAAATTACCTTCAGTCTATGTGTTTCAGGTATATAAGAAACATAAGTGAATTTTGTGGGACATGAGTCCCATTATCAAGATATATCATTTAGAAAGAGAGAGAGAGAGACAAATATCTAAAAATCTAAACTAACTCTTAAGTACTTCCAGTCCTAAATATTGTAGATAAGGGATATTCAACCTGTAGTGTATTTCTAGCTCACATAAATCCAAAATAGATGTTTCTGATCAGCATGCAGCTCTCCCCCAGTGACAATTCAGGAATCCAGAATCCTTCCATCTTAAAGCACTACTATCTTCAAAACTGGAGCATATCAGGAAGAACATATTGGTATAGCTGGAATATGGAGCAAATACCTTTCATTCACATTTCATTCGATGGAACTCAATCACAAGGTCATATTCATTATAAGAGAGGCTGGGAAAAGTAGTCTAAGTGTATTCCCACAATGAAGAGAAAATATATGTGGCAATCAACTAGCTATGTGATATACATCCAGTTCCCAAATTTTAATTTAACAATCTCTTCTGTTTTCTAGGTATCAAAATGGCCAAAATAATTAAGGACTATTTAAAACAACTTTGCCTTCAGCATTTATTGAGCATATACTCTATGTAAATGAGTGGGCTATGCAAGGTAATGAAATCTGCTTGGAACAGTGTATGTCAGTGGAAGATTTTCTGAAAAAACTTTGTATTATTTTCTCTGCCTTCTTTCCAAAAGGAAGAAGAAAAAAACACACACTGGATCCTGAGTCTTATTTCAGGCTAAAAGATGGAAGCAACTATTTTTGTCTGGGAGCAAATTTCAGAGGAGGAAAGAAAGGGCACTCTGCCTAAATGCTCCACAGCCAATTACATTTTCTGAGGGAGCATCTCTCCACCCCAGAACTTCCAGCTCCCTCTCTGTTCTTCTATCATGAGGACTTTCCTTCCTGATCTTCAGGGATATGCATGTATCTATCTCCCTGTCTTTCTCCACTTCTCTGCCATACCAACAAGTTCAAGTGCAGCAGTGAGCAAGTACTAGTCCTGCAGTCTCCCCACTTGCACTCCTCCCTTGGAATCCCATGGCCTTCCAAGGGGTCTTCAGATTCTATCCCCCACGTCTGTGTCACTGAAAGCTCCAGAGCTTCCTAGCATATCCATCAACTATAACCTGGGCATTCTTTGCCACCCTCTAGGCTGGAGTCAGCTGGAAGGGATACATGTCCTTACACCTTCCTCTAAAATCTAAGATCCTCCATACCCTATATCACCCAGCCTCCCTTTGCTCCTGTTCCTTCAGGCACAACTTGTTTTGTTCTTGACATTACATTTCAGATCTAATCACATCATCCCAAATGAAAAATGAAACATGTAATGTGATTCAGTTTTACACCCAAAGCCTTTCAAGTCCACAAAATATTCAAAGTCACTCACAACCCTTCCTATCCCAGGAGTTCCTTGGGGATTTCCTGTTAGGAAGTCCAAGAAAGTCTAAGGAACAATCAAAGCCGATATCAGAGGGACTGATGATGCCTTAGAACCAACACCGATGACAGGACACTCCTTCTTCTTTGCAGTAGCAAAGTTCAGTACGTTGTCCCTTGACTTTTTTCTCTGAGGGGCTAGCCCATCCATGTACCTCTGGATTTGGTCTTGGCCTGTAAGCTCCTCCAAACTCTGGGTCAATTTTCCCTCAATGACCACAGGATGACCAGAATTAGAGCTGGGACCAAAGGACCATCACAATCATCATCCTCCCTGAGCCAGGCATTTCCCTTCGAGAGGAATCAGACAGCCTGCAGAAGCCAGTGGAGAGTACACTGATGGAGCCCAGCAGGGTTCCAATGTGCAAAGAGGCATTCAGCCTCTAATTAATTAACTAATTCATCTGATCAATCCATAAACATATGCTGATGCTTTCTCTCTACCAGTTCCTGTGCTGGGCAATGGGGACAAGGTGACTCATGCATTTTCTCTTTCAAGACATCATCCCAGGGAAATTTTCCTGCCAGGAGGAGATTTTGGTCCATTCTTTTTTTTTTCCACAATACCTTTATTTTACTTATTTACTTTTATGTGGTGCTAAGGATCCAAACCAGGGCCTCACCCGTGCTAAGCCAGCACTCTACTCTGAGCCATAACCCCAGCCCTCTCTTGGTCCATTCTAACCTAACTTCTTTTGCTAATTTCTTTCTTTGCCTCTTCTTCTCTTCGGCAGCTTCCCTTCACTTTTCTGCTACAGATATGGTTAAGGGACTTTAATAAAAATGCTCTTCAAGCAACATAGCCTTGTACTCTGTGGACTCCAATTTCTTCACGAGTCTTGGGATCTCCTCAATTTGTTGCATGGTTCTCCTTGCTTGAGGATTGCTAGAAGAAAGGGGGATAGGGTCGCACATAGATGACAGAATATAGGCCTATTTATCTTATCCAGTAAGGTTTCCACATGGCCTGGTGACTGTTTTGGTTCTTCATACTGCAGAGACCTGGAGTGAAGTTCTATCCCCTATGTGTGCATGCACACGCACGCACACACACACACACTCACACACACACACACTCACACCACTACACCACTGCCATTCCTTGGACCTCTCCCATCCACTCATCCCCCCAAATCCCACTCCCCCATAACTATGTGGTCAGGTCTCAATAACTATTTTCCATATAAGGCTCTGGTTGCATCAGCTTTTCTCCTGGGTATAGGTGTCCCTCTAAAGAAATCCTATAAAATCAGCTGTTGCAAGCCTTCTCCAAGAACACCTGCTCCTGGGGCCAGTCCTGCTGTACAATCAGACAGAGGGATCAATGATAAATTAAAATGCCTCTGATGGGGATCCTAAAAAGAAAGGACTGAATGTCCCCCTACTGATTTCTCTCTCAAATGTGAAGAGTCTTACCCTAGGTCCTTAGGCACATTTCCTTCTCATCTTGAGAGCAAGCAGGATCTTCTCTTTCTTCCTTCCAAGCCTCCTGTTATTTGCAGTCTGTCCAGCTGTTTTCCCAGCCTGTGCAGCTGCTATCTCTGCTCACCCAGCTGCTCTTGCAGGACTCAACATGTTTCTTTCTTTGCCTCTTCTTCTCCCTTGGCAGCTGACCCAGCCAAAAAAAAAAAAAAAAAGCCACCAATAGTTACCAGCTACTGCAGCCAAGGTCACTACCCACGGCCTGTCCTCCTCCTCTGTATCAGGGTACAAGCCCTGCTCTTTCAGATTCTGTCTTATCTTCAACAGCCCCATTGGAACTGACCAGGGACCCTGTGTGAGCGTGCGCGTGTGTGTTGTCTATTGGAGAACAAATGCTGCTCTATCCTGCAATGTCAAAGATTTGGCATGGAGAAAGAGTGTCCTTGGTGAGCATAAACAGAATGTCTATGTTCTATTCAGTTGCCTCTCCCTTTAGGGTTCTCCACCCAGTTCTCTGATTTCCTACAGGTATAGCTTGTGGCCTTATGGGAGATCCCACTTCAATTACCCCTGGGGCTTTCCTGGGTATATGGGTGATTGTTTGTACCATCGAGTCAAAAATATCTTTCCTCTTCCACTAAGGGAAATCCCCACGAGGTCTCCACATTTCCTTCCTTGTCTATAACCTAAGGCAGATTCTGAGTCATGGTTATTTGTCCCCCAGGGAACACTTGTCTAGAGACATTCTTGGATGTCATGTGGGGAAGGGAGGGTGCTAGTGGCATCTAGTGGGTAGAGGCCAAGCACACTGCTAAACAACCCACAGAGCACAGTGCAGTCCCCACAGCAAACAATTAACTATCCCCAAATGCCAAAACTGGGAGAAATCCTGCATTAAAGGTTTTGGTCTCAAGGAATACACAAATTTATCTCCACCCTTCAAAAACCCATCAACTTCTTCCCACCCATGCTAGAGGCTTACACTCCTTTGACTTCAAATTCTGTGTCCCAAGTCCTTGAAGGAAATATCAATTACAATGTTTGATTTTAAATGAAACAAGGACAGAAATACCTAATGGCAAAGTTTTATTAATTTTAAGGAAGCATACCATACATATAGTTCAGCAAATTTTGTACATTTTGTATTTGTAAAGTGCCTGTCAGCTTAATATTTTATTTCAATACTTTTTGTTGAATATTGAATGATACTGTTCATCAGAACTTGGAAAAATATATGTAATTTTCCCTGGTAATTCTGTAGTTTAAGCAGAGAAAATATTGACTTCTTAAAGTTAAGGTATTTTACATCAGCAAATGTATTTAAAGAACAAGAGTAAATCTTATCTTTCTGTAAAGGCTTTCCAGAAGATTTTTCTGATATAGAGGTGTTCTTCTTTCTCTTGACAATATTACAGCAGGTTATCTATAGACTTGAAAATAATAAAATTGCCTTTCTCTAAACATTTTCCTCTCAAGTCAAAGTTCTCGAATTCAGATTAACCTCTAGAGTGAATTCTAATAAGTGACATCTATTGCATCTGGAAACTTTGAAGACACAATCCAATTCGTCAGTCATGAGCAGAGCCCAGGAAACTCGAAGAGAAGAGGGATTGTGAAAGTGAATATGCAACTATGGAGGCCTCTAGCAGGAGCTTGGAGGGTGCAGCAGAATGTGAGGGGCATCCATCAAGAGGGGGAGAGAAAGAAAGGAAGGCAGTCAGAAGAGCCAAGGCCACTGTCCCTCCAGTCAGTGCCTAAGCCCAGGTGAGGTACTAGGACCTCTGCTCTACACAGGACTCTCTAATGGGAGACATACTGTGGATTTTCCCATCAGCCTCCCTCCATCCCTCGCTCCCTTCACAGGTGACAGGCCATCACTGCAGTCTATAGACTGCTCACTCACTCCTCCTTCCTCTTCCCTTGATCCTTCAATAGGGATTTCCCACAAGGAATCTCTTACATCCCTAACTCCATCTTGGCCTGTCCTTCTCAGAGAGTCCAAGTTAGCATAATGCTTCCTGAGAGAGCTCCAAGATGAGGCCCTAGAACTGGATGACTCACTGAAAGACTTTCATCTCTCCTGGGATCACAAATTCAAAGCCAGCCTCAGCAACTTAGCAAGCTCTTGTCACAAAATGAAACATAAAAAGGACTGGGGAAGCAGCTCAGTAGTAAAGTGCCCCTGGGTTCAGTCCCCAATTCATTTCTCCCATGGCACATTCCATGGCATAAGACAGCTGCCTAATTACTAAATATTTCACAGGTGATAATCTGAGAATATGTCTCAGTGGAGAGCAGTTTCTTGATGTTACAGTAGATTTTAGAAGCCAAGAGAAAGAGATGGCCCATTGCTGAGCAAAAAGGACATGTCTGAGTTATTTTGATAGAGGATGGATATAAAAAATCTCAGGGCAGTGGGTATGCTGAAATGGATAAATATTATATGAGGCCAAAACACCCACTAGAGAATTGTATTCCACAGGTAGGCCCGGTGGGTCTACTATTCACCAACGCCACCAGAAATGACAGGAGGCACCAACATCATTAATCAATTCAATGATGATTGTCTCTGAAGATTGGGGGTGACTATAGGTGAGAAACTCACAAGGTTGTGCCTATTAATGGCAATTTGTAAAATGGGTCCCAAATGACCATGTATCCACAGTTGTCCATCATAAACTGGTTCTCCCAGTTTAAAAAGTTCCTTCATAGGACTATGGGTTTGTATTAGTCAGTTTTTCACCACTGTGACAAACATACCTAAAAAGGGGGTCACAAGCACAGGAAGAACCAGGAACAAAATATATAATCCCTAAGGACATGCCCCTAGTGACCCATTTCCTCTAGCCATGCCCCACCTGCCCATAGCTACCATCTTGTAATCCCTTCAAATTATAAATCAAATGGATTAATCCACTTATTAGGTTACAGTTTTCATTCTATCTTATGCATTAACACAGGAGCTTTGGGGGGGACACTCATCCAAACATTGACAGGGCTGTATACAACTTGAGTAAAACCTGAGACAATTTGCTTTGGATTTATCTTGCTATGTATATTGGAGTCTATTTCCAAATCCTTAGACAAATGATACATTTAAAACCACAGACAAAAAAAAAGCCTACAAAGGAGAATTGAATGTCATGAAAGAGCCTCAGTATGCTTATTTTAAAACTGTGAGTGTGTTTGTGTGTGTGTGTGTGTGTCTTAAAAACATTTTCAACCCCCTCCCCAGGTGTGATTCCATCATCATCATTTCAACCAACCAATATACAATTAGAGAAGCTAATCTGAAAATCTCCATTACTGAGTTATATACACATTGACACTAATAGGTGACAGGTACATGATCTCTCTTTCTAGAAGTAAGTATAATCTTTTTTTTTTAAATTTGAATGGAACCCTTTTTGAAATTGAGTTTAGAAATAAACTTAAAAACATTTGTCAACAAAAAGAAAGATTAAACAAATGGATGCACAAGATGGGAATAATCAACAAGCAGTAATCAAGAGGACGGACATAAAATAAGAAATGTTCTTCAGCTGTGAGCACTGAAAGGCAAGATGTTGGGAACAGGGGTTAAAACACATTGAATAAATGCTCAAAATGCTGCATGATGAAGAAACTTCATTTAAACATCTGTTTGAGATACTTTCTCTAATATAAGATCCACTCATGAGGTTTGTGCATAAAGACAAAACCTACAGAGAACAAATATTATTCCCCAGAAAGCTGGACGATATCCATACTGAGCATAGTTGACCCTCAAGCTCACTAAATGTTATACTTGAGATGAAAAAATCATTAACTGCATACAAATAAAGCATAGGAATAAATGAATGTATTATTATTTTATTAATAATGACTATACTTTGCTAAGTAGCATATCTTACACTAAGATACTTCCAGTTTTAAGTACATACCAGAGACCAACAATTGCGAGGATGCATTTAGGATCCATTTATTAGTAGTATTGTTTCAAATCTCTTTGAGCATGTACATCAATGTGTTATTGTCATAAAAGTTTCATTTCAATAGCTCAATAACCATTAATACACACTTAGGGCTAAGTGCCAGGCCGATTCCAACAACTCCAATCCAAAGGAGGAATGAAAATGAATGAAAACCTCAAATCTATATTTCCCATTTAGGGAGAAAAGCCTTCTCCAATTTCACTTGTAAATTTATGAGAAGTTTGAGACTACTGGGTAAATGGCAGACAAGATGAGATCTTGAATTGCTGCTAAATATCATGCCCTCTGCTTAGTAAGGTTGGGGCCACCATGTAGCTCGCAAGAAGAATGAATAATCCAGATCTCTAGGTTCTTGATGGAAGTAAGCTGTATATTGAATTTGGAAACCAGAATAAAATTCCTTCCAGGGCAACTCAATTATTCCTCTTCTATGATTAGAACATTGAAACTCTTGCAGACCAATCTCAGACCAATCTCCAAAAACAATCAAATTTTGAATCTTTTCACAACAGCAAACTATATAGAATTCGAAGCACAGGACGTTTCAAGTGCAAAAACTGTGTGCATTTTAAATGGCATCACAGTGTGGTACCATCTTGTTAAATGGAGTCCTAGAGGGGACTTCATGGCCATGGGCAGTCTGTACACAAGTTGAAGCTGTTAAGGAAGAAACGGCCTCTCAGTGTTTGAGGGAGGAACAGCTCCTGCCCCTTGCTAAGAACTCGGAGGCAATGTGCAGAGAATCTCCCGGCTGTTCAGTGTGCTTAACGGCTCGTTAAGTTTAAATATGATTTAGGGGCTAAGCCCACAAGCTCACTGAACAGTTGTCCTAAGCCACTGAAACTTTTCCAAATGTTGGGTTGGCAATTGCTGAGGTCACATTTAGAGTGCGTAGAGGGGAGGCAGCAGAGCTGAGAGAACTGCCCAGCCATATCATATGAGAATATATATCCAGTGTCCTCAACAGAAACCCTTCCTGTATTCATCTTCTAGGGCTGCCAAAATACTAAAAATTGAATGTCTTAATAGAAATTTATTGTCTCTCAGTTCTAGAGGCAAGAAGTCCAAAATCAAGGTGTTAGCAGGGTCGGTTCCCCCGTGGGCTTCGAGGAAGAATCTGTTCCCGGACCCTCTGCTCATCTTATCTCCCTATATGTTCACTCTGTCCCGGGTGAAGTCATCCTCAGCTGTTCCCAAGGGC